CCCACAGGGTCTCCAAGGCTGTCAATCTTCACAGAAGCAAAGCCCAAACCACACCCCCTGCCCTGGAGTCGATTCTGACCCACAGCGCCCCTAGAGGACAGAGTGGAACTGCACCCACAGGGTCTCCAAGGCTGCCATCTTTACAGACGCGGCTGCATCATCTTTCTCCCACAGAACAGCTTGTGGGTTCGAACCATTGATATCTGCTTAGCAGGCAAGCATTTAACCACTGTGCCATCAAGGGTCCTGTTTTGAAATATAATAAACTTCCCTCAATTGTCCAGACCCTTAATCTTTGCAGAGGCTCTGCCTGCTCGATCAGCTTCATGGTTTCTTCAGAGGCATGAAAGGCAAGCGTCAGATCCACCCCAAAGAAGCCGGCTCCCGATCTGCCCAGTGGGTCCTGGGAAGTCCGTCCTCGGGTGTCACAGGCATTTCTGCATCTGCGTTCACAGAAGAAGAGCTCCCCTCCTGGGGAAGAAATCAGAGGTGAAGGCCAGAGCCTCCCGTCAGCGGGAGAAACCAAACTGAAAGCATCATTTGTCTCACGTGGAACAGCTTTGCTCTACCCCTCACCTGCCCCATCTGAGAGACGTCCCTCCTCAAGACGACAGATCTGAGAAGGTGGACCTTTGGGAAGAGATACTGCAGACTTCCAGGTTGGTGAAGGAGCTCCCCGCGTCGCTCGGGTACTCCGGGTAGGAGGCGCTGGACGAGATGATGTTTTTGAGCCTCTGCAGGGCGATGATTAAAAGCAGGAGCAGAAAGGCCAACAGGCTGAGGAATAGGGACACGTAGACGTACACGTTGGACAGGTGGCCTGCGGACGGGTCCACCGATGTGGACAGAGAGGTGGGGAACAGCTCCAGGAAGGTCCCGTTGTCCACGCGGCCGGCAAACCCAGACGGAGGGTCAGCTTCGGACATCTTGTTGTATTAAAGGTCGGCGTTTCACGTGAGGCTCAGAAAGAGGAGAAATCGCTCATTTTGTTCATGAGAGTGTCAGGGCAAGTCGCAGGGCGCTTGGCCATCAATTCAAGATGTCTGCCTTTCCAACAAAGGTGTTCATCGAGGCTGAAGAAAAGAGAAACACAGTGACAGTCAGAAAATGTCTCCTCTAGTTCTCATTTGTAGTGTTTACTTCAGTAAGGCTCCATTATAAAACCCACTGGAGACAGAAAAGAATGAAAAAACTCTGCTGGGGTGAGTCCTGTTTACATGTTTATATGACACATGATGTGAATCGCCACCTGTCCCCACAGTACACATGACAACATGAAACTCCACATGACCCTACAGTACACATGATGACATGAAACACCGTATGTCCCCACAGTACACATGACGACAGGAAACACCATATGTCCCCACAGTACACACAACAACATGAAACTCCACATGTCCCCACAGTACACACGACAACATGAAACTCAACCTTTCATTACAGTACACATGATGATAGGAAACTCCACATATCCCCATGGTACACATGACATGAAACTGCCCATGTCCCCACAGTACACACGATGACATGAAACTGCCCATGTGCCCACAGTACATCATTGTGTGTCTGTTACGTTTCTGAATCTCCTGCTTTGGTGTTTCTGGTGCCATCGAACCACCACCGACTCACAGCGCCTGCACCCACCGAGCAGAGCTGCCCCGAGGGTTTCCTAGGCTGTCGCCTTTATGGGGGCAGACCGCCAGGTCTGTCTTCTATGGAGCCTCTGGGTAGGTTCAAACTGCTCCCTTCTGGGTAGCACCTGAGCGCTTAACCGTTGCACCACCAGCGCTCCTTCAAAAACCAAGCCCACACCATTGAGTCAATTCTGACTCACAGCGCCTGCACCCACCGAGCAGAGCTGCCACCTGCATGGGACACTTCCCAGGTCTTTCTCCCAGGGGTTCAAACCTTCCGCACCTCGGGTAGAGGCCGAGTATTTAACGGCTGCCCCAGCAGGACTCCCCACTGACACTCACCTGGTTCACACTCTGTCCTCTAGGGGCACTGTGGGTCAGAATGGACTCCACGGCAGTGGGTGTGATTTGGGCTTTGCTTCTGTGAAGATTGACAGCCTTGGAGACCCTGTGGGGCAGTTCCACTCTGTCCTCTAGGGGCGCTGTGGGTCAGAATGGACTCCAC